TTCAGGCATTAGTCACATTATTCAAATGACTCCTCCTCTCCCAAGGAAAGGCCAGCTCGTGTCTACTATGCACTGGCCTATGCTGGGGAACTTGCAGAGCTTTGCCTTCATCAGAAGTGGAGCTTTGGAGGGCACCAAGCATGAATGCAAGAGGCTGGGACATTAAAAATCAGCATAGGAGACTTTCTGCCTCTCCTTTTTCTCCTGGCTTTTTTTCATGTGGCCTCAGCCTGCCTAAAAAGAGACTATTATAGTAAAACAATGTGTCAATTGCTCTTTAGAAAAGGACCAAAGGAATGAGCGTTCATATACCTTGGCAATAGTTCACCAATGAACCATCCATCTCCCTACTGCTAGTGCATCCTGCAATTTGGTCTTCTTTCCTGTTGTCCATGAAGAACAAATGACATGGGGGTGGAAAAGGTAAACAGAGACATCTGTTCATGCCCATTTTGAACCAACACAATCTCCTACTCAGTCACGGGGGACAGTGTGGATTCTGAGAGTGAGTCAGAGCCAAAGGGAGGTGTGAGAGGTGGCTTTGGTTTGGTCTATGGAGGAAGGCAGCTGTGACTCAAACACTGCATACTGATCAGCTGGAGCAATTTCTCTATTTCCCTCCTAAACAAAGAGGGGTTTGCTCACCAACCAGTCTGTTGTGGGCTGTGCGTTGTACACTGTGGCACCAGTAATCTAAATGCTTTACTACAAGGAGGTGAAAAGTGGGATCCACTTCAGAGAGAGCCAAGCTACAATGCTTACACTTAATTTCCTTCCTTGCCTCTTTCTTTTCTGCAGTTGTGGAAGATATAGAAGCCCTGATTTAGAAACTGAAAACAAAATGACCAATCTCAATCATAAAATGCAGTAAAATATGCATTATTTGCATATGTATCACAGTGAAGCTTCTATGAATCTGTGAGATGGAGAAGTACTGATGGCAAAAGTTTGTGCTAAGTGTACTACTCAATCAATGAGAACTCCACACAAAAATACAATGTGCACATAACTAATTTGCATTTCTAGGCTAATAGTTCATTGGATAACACAACTTTCATTTGGTTGGGGTGGCAATGGCTAAATTTGCTCCAAATCTACTCTTGTAAGCAGCACACGGCAAGAGAATGTAATTAATGTACTGTGTAAAAAGGATTCATATACACACACTGGTGCCTCTTAAGAATTTGTCTATCACCTCTGGAAGTTCTATTTTTGTTCTGGTCCCCTAGCTTTTAATTACAACTATTTCCTAGAATGGTTCTAAAAATCACTCATTATTTTGCTCTTACTAGTGCGAGATGATTTACAGACGTATCTGAACAAACTGGCAGAAACCATTTGTTCCTGTTTCTAAGCTGACAATGATGTTATTAAAATAAATGTATTACAAAACTATAGTTTACTTTACATAATTACTATAAATAGAGCTTTTGCCAAGATGGTAGTGGACTGATGCACTTTCATTATAAAATTAGCTGGATAGCCTGGCATGCTCAGGAAAATCACCTGTCACACAAAAAATTCCTCTTCATGTGGTGTAGATGAAGCTTTTCCTTAATATTTATCTGGTCTGTGATAGATGACTCTGATAGAAAAGCTATCAGTGAATCTCCACCATGATGTTACTCAACAGACAGAAGAGAAATGAAGGACATTATGATATTATTAATAAACGAATTCTGTTCTGCTGAGATCAAAGTGAGTTTTGCATTCTTTCCCTTGAAGCACTCAGCACTGTGAAGGATACAGTCCTTTCAGTTCTGTATGGAAAATACAGTATCAGCTATTAATATATTTATACATTAACCATATGAATGCCATGAATAATGAAATATTTTTTGCTGAACCAGTGATAACTTACCTGAAAGCCTCTTGCTGCTTTCTGACTCCTTTATTCCACCCTGTCACTGCACCCTTGCCAACAGAAACATCATTTCCATAACTGTTCCAAGTCCCTCCCAGTAATCAACCTGTTCAGTGGTAACAGCCTGTACAGGGGTTGGGGCAAGCAAGGGGAGCTCAGCTGTTTGGGCAGCATTTGCTGGATGTTGACAACCAACCCAAATGTGGATAAGTTGATATCACAGCTGGATATAATTCACAAGCCACCTGTGTAACTGTGATCCTGTGTCATATGACTTATTACCTTATGCTTTCTGTACCAACAATGTTTGTCTGTTATTTGAATTGCAAAAATAATTTTAAAGCAGCTTTCAATCTTCAGAGGGCAGATGGGCTTTCTAGAAAGATTTCTGAAAGCCTTTGAACAGGATAGAAACATGTAATGAGGCTTTCTCTCCACAGAAGAATTTGCTCCCTGTACAGCAAGATACAGCATTCATAGCTAAGAAAGTAAAGAGTGACAGAAGATAGCAGGATTTTGCCACAGCTGGGCAGTTATCAAATATGATGCATTTCAGCTTGAAGGCACATTTTATATCAGTTTGTTACAGCCTCTCTAATGCTTCCAGAGCTGTACTTTCTGAACACAGAATGTACAAGGTAGGCATTACTTTTTCTCTTCTTTCATATATACAAATATGTTGGTTTTGGCTTTCTGGGTTCTGTGTTACAGATTACATTTAGCATATGGAAAGATTTTAAATATATATTACATAATATCAAATATGTGTATTAAAAAATGAACTGGTTCCCTGTGTTTCCATGTGTGCATCTGCGTTTTTCTTGCACTGCACTGCAGCTAGTTCCTTTGTAACTTAAAGCTAAACCTAATAACATCATTCACTGCAGCAGCAAAATACTTTCCCCTAGCATAAGATACAATGATGATGACATAATGCTGTGGTTTCTAAATCCCAAACCAGCTGTTACTGGTATATGCATTCAAATTCACTGTCTCTGCACCCGTGTGACAGGCAAAAAAAGCTTGTGACTTGATTCAGTAAATGATTTATCATTTTAAATGTATAATTCACGGACATAGCTTACGCATGGCTTCAGTCACAGAGTGGGGAAATTAATTTAGGCAGTTTTCTACCGTAAAAAACCAGAGAGGATGTAATCCATCTGCACAGACCCAGTAGGTATTTTCCAGCAACTAGCACATAATCTGCTCACTGATTTTGGACTGAGGGAACAACAAAAAGCTGCCAATTATTTAAATTGTTTCTTCTCTCTGAAAGTCATTCACACTAATGCTTTTATCTCCTATAAATAAGCACAGCTGGGCATCAATCCCCTAACCCAAAGCGCACCAAGATAAACAGTACCTATCGGAGTATTACTGAGTATGTAACTTCTAGTTGAATAAGAGTGGCAATAAAACTGCTGCCATGGTTAAAGATAGTGCAAGAAGCTAAGATGCTCCTGTGGATGCTCTTCTTGAGTATTTGAGAATATTAGCTCAGTAAGTGAAGGTTAGCTTTAAAGTCATTTCTCAAGAGCAAGTCTAAAAAAAGAATACCACAGAAGCAACTTGAGACCTATGAGAAAGCTTTTTCCACTACAGTAAGTTGCTTTGATGGAGCACAAAATCCATCTCTGCATAAATCACTCATTTGCAAGGCAGGGTCTGGACACATCAGTTGATAGACTTACTTTAAATCCAGACTAAATCAAACCTCTGAAACTCTTAACCTAATCCCTGCCTTCTGTACTATGTCATCATGGCAATTTGTTTCCAGGGTTACAGTATTTATTTACTCAACATAAAGCCAATGTGAACAACTGCCCTGAATTTTAGTAGGAAAATTGCATCCCTAGTGTAATTCCATTATCTAAGTGGTCTCGTGTCAGGAATGAATTTCACCTATTAAGTTTTGGCACAACACTCTAAGTGAGGGCAGTATCTGCTCAAGCCATATTATCTTCATTTGTAGAACAACACTGAAACCACTGTGCTTAAAATCAATCATTTCTTTATGTTCATCTTTCTTTAAAGATACATGCAGGCTTAGAAATAAAGAGCTGAACTCTTTCATAAATTGTCCAAATATTCCAAAATTCAAGGCCTTCCTACAGAAAATAAAGGGATAGTCTTGGTCAGAGATATAATGAACTCTTTAGAGAGGTGATGCAATCATGCACTGAATGTGAGTCATGATGCACTGGATCTTTTATAGTCAAGTAATTGATAATCAATCTGTACAGTTACAGTTGCATCAATCAATCATGTATCTGCAATGGCTCTTATCAAACAAGTCTGTAGAAGTTATGAGAGATCATTGTTAGTCCTATCTCTGTGACAGGCTGATTTATGATGGTGAGAAATTGCCCTGATGGCAACAAAACCTTTTCAGACTAACCCAGATCAGGAATATTTCGAAAAAATGAAAGGATTGTGTAGAGCTTATGCAGATGAGCTTCTTCTGTACCTGTTTGTTTAACTAGAAAGGCTATCAATAGTAAATGTAAATGAGTTTCTCAAGCCAGGAAAGGTGTGTGTGACATAAACCAAAACAAGAACAAAACCAGGCTGTTCCAAATTCCCTCTTCAGGAAATTATAATGATTTTACACAACCTACATAGCCACAGACTCTAAAATGGATCCAGGAAAGAGGGTTTCAAAATCTACTCTGGTGCCAAGATGCAATACGTTTCATAGATGGAAGCAGTTTTACTTGGTAGACAACCACAGCATTAGGTCCCATCTATTCTAGCTACTTACAGGTGACAGGTTAAAGGAGCTGAAATGCTGGATTATTTTTGGAAAATGCAGATACCTGACCCAACTCAATAGAACTGAGAAAACCCTAATCTTCCCCTGACATAAAGCCATTGAAATCAATTGCACTTCACAGGTGTGGAAGTGTATCTGATAAATTACCTCTCCTTCACTAGATGGAAATATTAAAGCAGTTTGGAATTCGACATTGCAATAGTGAGTGATCAGTCATTTAGAAGTACAGCTTTCACATTCTGAATGAACAAATCCGAAACAGGTTTCTTAAGAGCAAGAAAGGTGAGAAGATAATTATCACTATTGGTAGAGGAAGAACATAGCATTAATAACACTGGTACATAAAGTATGTACTCTCACCCAGATAGGAAACTCCTTCTTCTGGTGTGATTGTTCCATATTTAACCATCATCTTCACAAAATCAATCAGGGTTTTCATGATAGTTATCAAGGTCTCTTTCTCTTTTGCCTCTGTCTCTGCGTGAGGGAATAAAGCAAAACTAGTCAAAGACTTCAGGCAACTCGGATAAAAATTCAGTTCTTCAAACTTCATGCACTAAGAATGACCTACTCACTAAAAGAGAAAATGCTGTGCTGAATTAACAAAGACAACCTCTATATATGTTTCTTTTTAAACTGTTCCTGCAAAGTACAGCTGAATATACTTTAAAACTTCAGGGTTTGGTTCTTCTGTATAGCTTTTTGTCATGAAGGGCTATGTTATGGAAGGCCAACAGTATTGATTCCATTTTGCAGCTAAGAACACTAAAGACACTGAGATTAAATGACCTGACAGAGTAAAAATTGCTGGCCAGAGGGCAGATATAGGTACAGTTTCTGTATTTTTCTTTTGTTTGTGAACTACTTAGTAGACCAGTCTGGCTCTGTATGAGGAAGATAGCTCAGAGATCTTTTCTCCTACAAGATCCATGGGTTCCATGACAAAAATACAAAGTGTCTCAAATAAGAGTGTTACTGTGCACAAGTCCATGACTCACGTAGTGGGAAAACACAATAGTACATGGTTGGGAGGATTATGACTTTAGAATAGGATACAATTATTTTTTGTTATAAAAATGCATTCTTGCCCATACTTATCTGCTTCTTAGCTTTTCTTTTCTCACTGTGTTTGCC